TTTATTTGCCAATACAGAAACTAAAAAAAAATGGTGTGTGCTACAAATGTGAAACTTAAATTAGGTCAATGAAATTGTCCTTTTTTAATTGTTCAATTTTTTTTTAGCATTAAACAAAAAATCTAAACTCTTTTTGAAAAAAAGTTTCCATTTTGTTTAAATGTATGTGTATTTTTAATTTTCATTTCAAATAAAAATTTGTATACGTTTTGTTTTGACAAAAAAAAAAAAAAAAAAAAAAAATATAGGATTTTTATTGCTTAAACATTCATAAATTTCTTAATTTGAATGGAGCAAAAAGCCGATGCAAGATAAAACTAAACAAGGGAAATTGAGATCTCGATCAGAAATAAAAAAGAACCTATACGACTTTTAACAAGACTACAAGGCAAAAGTTACTTCAAAACTAGGATCATATTTATTATCAATTCTCTCAATTGTAGCTAACTACAGAGAAACTTGAAGCTTTTTTTTTCTACCATAAAAATATGAATCCAAGGCCAAACTGTACGTTTGTTGTTTTTTTTTACTCTTACGGTTCTATAATTAACCGTTTTTTTGGGGGAAAATATGACGTTGACAGGTTGGATTCAATGGACTAATTAGAAGGTAGACTGTGCAAGGATAAATAAACGCTACAGTCCTCCTCCTCACACAGGTTAATGGACAACACTAATAGTGATATATGAGCACGTGGGTGGGATTTTCTCACATACATTCACAGTACAGTCGGATGTGTGGAGGCTAGGAGTAGTAAATTCACCTGTTGTAAGCACTGTCAGTAGAAAGTGGTAGCATCACAAGTTAGCAGTAAAAACGGAAGAGGAAAGAAATTGGTGTTTCCATTATTTAAGGAGAAATTTTAAAATATTCTTAAATTGAATATCTTTCGAAATTTTTAGCACGAGAACTGCTCTACGTTTGTTTTGATCGGTTAATTTAATTTACTTAAAAAAAAAAAATGTACAAGATAATAACATTTTATGCAAAGTATCCAATGGTTTATCTAAGAGAAAAAAAAACCTTTGTTTTTAATTTTTTAAATTAAATTATATAGTTTAAAAACCCTAAGACCCTGACTACTACCGATCTAACTTGGTTAGTTAGTAGTAGTAAGTAATAAAAACAAAATGGAGTTGTTTACAATTTCTAACGATAAGAAGATTCAATCAACGTTGAAATAAACAATCATTTTTGTTTCATATTGCGAATTAAAAACTTGAGAGCTTTCTTTTTCTGATGATACAATAATGAATTATTAGGAACGTAATTAATTAATGCTAAAAAATAAATTTAATGAAATGACGTGTGGAATATTATTAGACAAGATTTTTCTTCCTGGGTTTAAAACAGTCTCTCTTATTCAAAAAGGGATGGCGGGGTGGTCGAAAAAGTCATCCCTCACTTTAAGATTCCTGATTAACTTCACTCACACCACCCTATCCCACCCAACCCGAACGACTATTTCTTTTTTCCTTGATATTTTTAGACTGAAAAATGAACAGAGTTAAAAAATTGCAGGTAGAGATGCTTCTTATTTCAAATTCATCTTTTTCTAAACACCCCATCTTTTCATTGGGTCAATAGAAATATCAATACAGACGAACATTAACTTCAATACAAAAACATTATTTTAAGGGAGAAAGAAAATGTACGCGAAACCTCAAGTACAATTTACAACGCAATCAAGTGCGCCAACCATCAAGAATCAACAATGTGCTCTAATAATAAGTTTTATTAACATGAAAATAAGTACATTTCCACTAAAACTTAAAAGCCAACTGAGAAGTTGATCAATGACTGTTGTGTTTTAGTTATTTTAAAAAAAACTGAATCAGTTCAATAAAAATACATAAAAATGATTTACACACTCAAGAACTTTAAACTTCTTATCTTAACCAACTGCGCATAAAAAACGAACTGAAACACATGAAGCAAACTTTCTTTTTTAACTGTGTTACAATGTATATTATTATTTAACTACTTACTACTATGCAAACTCAGTCGCGCATATAACTTTTTCTTCGTAGTGTTACAGTTTACATTTTACAATTATTACTTACAATAGCAGTGTCAGAGAAAAAACTCAAAAGTAAATAAACTTCAAATAATTGTGATCAAATTTATTTATTTAAAACTGCAATTTATTTAATTTAAAACACATTTTTACAACAAAGTTTTTTGTTTTGGAAAGGACAATTTAAATTAATGCTGATTCCCTATGGATATCTCTTTCATCATGTAAAAAACTAAACAGTCTCTAGCTAGTCTTATTTGAAATGTTCATGTCTGGTACAGAGAATGTTCACGCATTCATAGTAAATGTCATTATCCATCAATTTTTACAGGAGAAAAGAAAGTACAAGGTTATTTAATCTAATCGAGAGAATCTGACATGTAGTTTCTTTCATCGTTTTGTCTTTCTGTTTCAGAAGTTAATGGGAGTTAGTTGGGATAGGTTTGTATAGTCGAGCAAGTATTTATTTATTTATTTATTTTTATTTTTTTAATTTTTTGAGTTGACTGACCATGACCAATTGCGAAGGTTCGTATTTTAATTTACTTTTTTCGGAGGGGAAGAACGAACCCGAAGATTTAATTTAACAGCAACTGACTGAAAATTCTCATTTATACCTTCTTTGTAAATTTGAGTTTTGGGGTTTTATTTTTTTTTAATACGGCCTCAAATTTCTAATCTTATTTTTAGTTAGACTTTTAGAGACATTTTTTTTTTTTTTCGTTTTTCTGTCATTTTGTGTAGCTTGACATGACTCATTTTTACACACTCGCTATTTTATTTAAAATTATTAACCTTTATTGGTAACTTTTCCAACAAGTTTTTAAATTTTTAAGCTTATTTGAACTTGCCGGGTTACTTTTTTTTCTTTTTTTTTTAAAGCACTAAAAATGTACACACACACACACGAAAAAAAAAAACAAAAAAAACTATCAAATATTTCATATTACTTAAAAGAAAATGCATTTTTTTCTCTTCCTAGCTGAAATAAATCAACCTAGGAGGAGATTTTGACTTTTAAAGCAAAATTAATAAATCATTTTGGAAATTGTCCGCCAGAATATTTTTTTTGTTTTTACTTTTTTCAGGACAGTAGTTTCTAAATTTTAAACTCAAAAGAGAACTTAAACAGGTCTCCATTTCATAAATTAAATTATAGCAAATTATTTTTAAAGCGATATAAAAATATTCGTATAGCTCTTAAAACTTAAAATGCTTTTTCTTATGAATTTTTCAACTATTTATTGTCAAAAGTTTTAAAGATGGCGTATGATAGGGGACACACACCACGATTAAGATGATGAGTGTGGAAAAGAAATTAAAATGATGGCTAACTTATAAAACAACTGGATTAATTATATTATTTTATATTTTGATCTATGAAGACACAATTTCTAATCGTAAAAATAAAATTAAAAATAAACTTTAACTCACAATTTTGGTGAGGTTTGTTTGTTGTTTTGTTTAGTTTAACTTTAAAAAGTTGAAACTTTTGACAACAATCTAGCTAGATGATTGAAAAGATCCCTTAGAAAAGAAAATAGGAATGATCTACTAATTCACATGAAACAATGATGAGGAAGATACGGAAAAATTACTTAATTAGAAAGGAATGTGATGATCCTTCTATACCTTATAGATCCCAAGGGCAAATAGGGAACTTAATTATTGAACACTGAAGTTATCCAGTTATTTTTTTTTTTTTAGTCATGATGATTACAAAGTTGCTTTCTGCATTTATTTCTAAAAAAGAAAAAAAAAAGTCTTTTAAATTACATTTCATTTTTGTTTTTCTATCAGAAAAAGCGCTAAGTAAAAGACTTTTTTCCAACAAGAAAAGAAAATTATCACAATTATTTTTTTTTTAATTAAAAATAAAAAATGTACCGGCAAAACTGCATTATTAAAGATTTTAATTAGAAAAGAAAAGCATCTAACTAGTTTCTAGTAACAAACATGATTTTTTTCCTAAAAGCTAGATCCAAAGGAAACGTTTTCTAAAAAAATCTTAAATATATTCCAATTAGGCTTTAACCCCTCTCTCACTATTTTTTTTTATTTTGTTTTTAGTTTGAGACATTTAATTTCACATTTATTTATTCATAAAAATAAAAACATTTACCAAAAAATTAAAAAAAAAAAAAATTTTCAAAATTAATTTGTATTTTGTAAAGTAAAATAACATTGTATTGTAATTTTTAGTTTTTACCAACACTTTTTTTAAGAGCCTCTTCTTCTTAACTAAAGAAACGGCTTTAAAATACTGAAAATTATAATCTACAAAGAAATCAAATATAATCACACTAAAAACACATAAGTTTTTTTTTTTTAAATTAAATATTTAAATGTAGCTTATTTTCTGCAAATAAATTATACACAACTGTGGTTGGTTACTTTCTAAAAAGTAAAAACATGACTAAAAATTAAAATGTAAAAAATAAATCCAATAAATTAAGAGTTGTCAAGTAGTAAGACAAATTACAAAACTAAAAAAAAATTGTGTTTATATTTTTAAAATAATTTATTGAAAAAAATATATGATCGTTTTACTTTTCATAGTCCACAATGTGATTGTCAAATCCGTTAAAAACTAAGCATGTTAGTGTTTTGATATAGTGATTAAAATAAGGAATTCATCACACAAGACACCTATCGATTATTGATTATTTAATGAAACACAAATATTATGGAATATAATATTAAAGCATAAATATTTACAGTTTATTAGAATTTGTTTTTAAATATATACACTTTTAAACACGATCGTTCTTCCTTTTGATTTGAAAAATGAACAAAAATCCAAGGGCAGATAAATCGGTAACTTCCTTTAACATGCCGCATCTTTTCAACACCAAACACTACTATATTAAGGCTAACAAATAAAGGCTTTTTAAAACCATCTGAACAAATGCATAGGGCTCTGGGTTATGTGATTAAAATATGAATCTACATTTAAAAACGAAACAGAATGTAGCCACCTTACCTCATCGAAGTTATCATCGCTATCCGAATCACTGTCCGATTCTATCACGATCTTCCTTTTAGACATGTTTCTGTTAAGGCAAAAAAAAATTAAATGTTTTTTTTTTCTTCCCTCAGGGCTCTACCTGGCGTGCTGAAGCTATCTCTAGAAAAGAGTAGCCAAATTGCCAGCTAGTAACCACTAAATAATCGTAATGTGTCTCAAATCAAACTCGATCAGTTTTCAAACTATGCAAAGTCTCCAATGTCTCGTTACTACAATGGCAGCAAGAGCCGGAAGTGGTGGTGGGCAACATGCGTGATGGTAGCAGGAAGTTAATAATAACAAAGAGAGAGTAGGAGTGTAAACCAGTGAGTTGAGCTGGATGAGAAGATTAACAGAAAGACGCAGGGAAGGAGGTAGTGATTTGTATTGAAGGAGGAGGAATGTCAATTAATAAACTATAATTATTTCACAACACTATATTCAATGTGGCTTAAATGTATATTGATGAAAATTAAAAGTTGAGTAAACAATCTTTTTTGTTTCGTTTATAATATCACAAATAATCAGGACTTCATTACAAACATATTAGGCAAATTAGTTCAAACTTCAGCTATGTTTACTTTGCACTAATAGCCTCAGAAAAGGTACCTCAACAAAAATAAAAAAAAACAAGATGCCTAAGGTTTAAAATTAATTTAAAAAAATGAAAAATCTTTATTGGGGCTTTTATTTTGAATTTAAATTTGAATTCCAGTTGAGTTCATTACATTCATTTATGTGCAAATACACTTGGGAAAGTCATGAAACCATCTCTTTTTCCAGAATATCAGAACAGACAGGGTCCTATAGCTTTGGGTAGCAATGGGTCTAAGAGGATGACAACTTTGAATTCAAAACCTCCAACTATGAGTAAATAGTAGAGCAAACTGTGCTTCAGTCCATGAAGGATGTTATCAAATGTGGCTGTTTGAGAACTGGTGTTTAGCTGTAGAAGTCACCAAAATAGGGCTTTACTTGTTTACAGGTGGTTATCTTTGGATAATGTCCTTAATCCAAATATACACCAATTTATGGCATTTTAAAAATGCATGTAAAGATAATTAATATAAAGATATACTGATAAAAATTTATATCCCTCAAAATAAAATATACAATAATATTCAAAGAGTTCATAAGTTCTTATCAGAAAGTTCTCATATTGAAAGTCTTTCAGTCCTTATCATATATATATATATATATATATATATATATATATTTTGAAACGTGGTTAGAACTGCGTAGCAAAAAAAAAAACATATTTTAAATCAATTAATTTATATATAATTATATATATATATATATATATATATATATATATATATATATATATATATATATATGAGAGAGGAGTTTTTTTTAATGTGTATGTAGGTATGTAAGTATTTCTTGACAGTAGTAATTCTTCTGACTTTCTGTGGGATTTTAGGTGTCCAAGTTTCAGGGTAAGGGACGGAGCAGCTGGTCTGGTCCAATTGCCTGCCCATCACTATCTGTCTTAACACATTTTTTTAAGACAACAGAATTCATTCATAGACCCCCCCCCCGCGAATTGTTCTTGATTTTGATTGGTTCCAGAAATGACACATTTGACAATCTCTTTTTCTTTACCTACATTTACGAATGATAACCTTTTGGCCTCTTTTATTTTTTTTTATTTTTTTTTCTTATTTTTTTTGTTTTTATTTCTTTATGGCAAGCCAAAATGGTTTGCCAACTTTTAGCTTTCTATTTTATGGTTTTTGTTTTAAAATAGTGATCTTCTTTCTTTTTCTACCATTACAAAACATGATGCATGACTGTTACCATTTGGCATTGAACTCTGTGGTTACACTGCTTATATTTCCACATGCTCTATCCAAGATACTGAGCACTTTTACTGTATAAATATAGCATTTCTTAAAATTATATCTATCCATACAGCTGGGAGATTCAAGAACTGCAAGTATTTAAAAAAATTTGAAATTTGACCAAATTACAGGGGTATTTTGGGGCCTTATGAGAGCCTATTCTAAAGCTAACATTGGCTATATCAACCTGTTCGTTTATGATTCTATCACTAAAATGGCTTTATTTTAATAACAAACACTTAAAAATATACATTGATTTTGTTGAAAGGTTCAATCATTACAAACTTCATTCAGGGGTCCCTCTGGGATATGGGGCACCGAAGCGTCAGCTACTTTACTTACATAGTAGATCTACCATTGTATACACCAGTTGTTTGTAATCTGCTCTTTCAAAAAGTGCAGTTGCTTCTGCACAAGCCTTCACTGCAATAATCAAAATTATGTGTGAGAAGTCTGCCTGTTCAGTTCTAAGAATTTAGTTGCTATGCCTTCAAATGTCAAAAAACATGTGTGTATGCATGTGTTTTGAAATAATGATGCAAAGTAGGATCAGTGAGACAAGATAAACACTGTCAAGTTGACTTCATAGTGATGCCCCTGTGGAAGGCATGATTCTATATCTCTCACTACAGCTATGGATTAAATAACAGGGCTACCTGTGTTCTTTAAAATTGAGAGATAAGAATGTGCAGTCAGAGTAAAGGCTATCAGCACTAAAATTGCAATCAGTGAGACAAGATAAAGACTTTCAAATTCACTTCATATGCTCTTCATGAAGGCATCATTCTATTTTTTCTCTCTCACTTCAGGTATATGCTAAATAACATTGAAGATTGGACTATGTCCATCTGAATTGCAGCTAATGGACAATGATCACAGCAATGGCGTAGCTGGAGGGTGCCAGATGAGGGTAGACCATTCTGAATAGCACTTTTTGTGTTTGGTGTAGGCTATAAGTCTATATCGGTTGTATTGAAATAAAAGTGGTTTTAATTTTGGGAAAGCACTCACAGTTGAAGGATCTTTTCAGTTTCAAGTAATTTAAACTATGGCATATGTATTGGCCAAACTACTGTCTGTAGATTGACAATTGACAGCTGAAATAGTTTTTGACAATGTCATTGAAGAATTTACCAACAAAAAAACAAGAAAAGTTGTAATTTTCATTTCAGAAATAAAGATGGTCCTAATTTTTTACACTTTTTCCCCATGTATGTTGTTTTTTCTTTTTAACTGTTACAGATAAAGTTTAAGTATGCTTTGTGTGTATTTAAAGCAAACTATATTTGAGCATGTGAAAGTAATATTATAATGAACTAGTTTATATAACTTTAAGAGTGAGTCACTATGTAATATGTATTTTGGGAGGATGTAGGAGGCGGCAAACTCAATGGCTTCCCAGGCAGCACACATTCTAGCTGTGCCACTGTTCTTATGATAGACATTTCTCCATCATGAGTGTTACCTAGAGCAATACCCAAAAGGGCTATGAATACTTTTTTATTTTTATAATGAAAGACTAAAATACAAGGTAAGTTAATCAATACATCAGTTTCAGAAAGGTAATAAATTACTTCCTCTATAAAATAAATGAAAAAGAAAGAAATGCCAGAAAAGCAGAGAGAGAAGGGACCACCAGAGAAACCAGACAAGTGTGCCACATGAAGTAGTTAATCGGTCATCTGCTTAATACATTTTCCGCCCTCCTGAGGGCCAAGAAAACACAGCAGACTGATACCGAATCTATTTCCAAGATGACAGCTACTACTAATATATGATGACTAAACTATCAACTCCTGACTACTACCAAGATCTGATTTATAAATGAACTTTCACCACCCTGAATTACAAAGGACTCACTCCATTCAAAACCAAATAAATAAATATATATTATTTGTTTATACCTTTGATTCTGTTCATTTATTTTTTAAGTTTCTGATAAATATTACTAAGAACCTCTGGCACCTTTACCACACTGATGATCTCCCAATGTGAACACACAACTTGATTCACACGAAAATTTGCACACACACAAAAAAAAGAAAGATCTCAAAATTTCGACATAACAAAAAGGCTTAATCAGACTAAGAAGTAAGTCAATAAATCAAATCAAACAAGTGATGAGGCATTGCCTTTTCTTATTTCTCTATCTGTCTATCTCTAGCTATTTATTTCTCTATCTGTCTATCTTGAATTCAAGCATCCTACGAGGCTGGCATCCTGCTCTCACCCTTTCACTGTTGAAACTGTTAAATGTAGCTGCCTCTTCTACTCCAATGGCTTCATATCTTGCACCTCTCGCCTGTGGAATTCCCTTCCCTGTTTCCCTGATAGCTATAATCTCCAACTTTTTAAATGTAATGTCAATCAACATCTCCAGTTACTTTGATCTATCCACTATCCTTCTCCTCATCCTTTCCTCTATCACTCCTATCTATTCCCGCTCCAAATCCTCTGTAACCCCTTGCATGCCAGTGGCTTCCTGCCTTGCTTGGGGTGAAATACTTAAAAAAAAAAAATCTATCTACTTTTCCCCAGTGTGCCATACCAAAAAAAAACCCAAAAAACATGTTATTACCTTTAGGTCTCCGACCTTTTCATCCAAATCAAAATCCACATTTCTAATATGCAGAATAGTCCAGGTCATATAAACTATGGTGTAGACGGAAAAAATAAAAAAACACAAGGTACAAATATTACAAAATTCTTGTCCCACCTCTCCCAGCCCTAATGAGCTTTTACATCCTTGGTATGACAATAAACTACATCTGTGTCCAGGGTAAGATGATAAACTACGTCCAACAGCAAGGCCTCTGATCAGAAGGTCTTGAAGAACATGGAACCACCTCTTAATTGCTGGTGTTCCCAGGTCCACCCTCACCCGGAGTGGTAGCACCTGTTAGGGTCCTAGCTATGGGCAAATAGTTAACCCTGAAACTGAGGTAGAAAGCATTATAAAAGTGTAAAAATAGGTTTTAATACCAGAAATACTTTGTAAAAAATTATTACCAGAAATAAAATTTTTGAAGAAAAAAACTATTACCAGCAATACATTTTTTAAAATAATATTACTAGCTATACATTTTTGAGGAAAAAAATACACTTTTGACAAAACAAAATATTGCCAGGAAAAAGTTGTCAACATTAAATAACCCATTGGTGTTGATATGCTGTAAAACAAAACAAACCAAACTCTAATGATTTAGAAAACTAGTTGAGCGGACAGTGTTAGCTTCTTCAGATCTGCCACCCTTAGAAGCCGTTACTAAAATAGGAGATAGTAAGATACATTTTATCATAGACACAGGTGCCAGTATTTCTATTTTAATATCTTCTGCAGTGAATGGCATTAGGTTAGAGACAAAGCCAGTGGTATTAGGCTAGAGGCAAAGCCAGTGGTATTAGGTTAGAGGCAAAGCCAGTAATATTAGTAATTTTGTATTTTTTGTACCAGGCACATTAAAAACTCATCAAAAGTGTTCAATCCCACAACAATTGATTCAAGTTCAATTATTTAACCCATAGCTGAGGGAAAAGAAATGGATTCATACCATTCCCAAGCATATTTGGACATAAGTGAATATAGTCAGTCAGTTATATGCTATGCATGATGCACACTTAAGTGATCATGTATCTTTCAATATATGACTGACGAGGCAGATTTTTTCCTGCAGTAGGTTGCCATTTCTTTCTGTGTTAGACCAGTTGCCATCAAAGGCTACAGAACCTGGTCTGTCCTGCTATTGACCCATAGCTGGGGGGGGAGAAGAAGAGGATTCATACCTTTCCCAAGTGCATTAGCACATAAGTGAATGCAATAGATTCAACTGAAATTTGAACTCAGCTCTCTGATTCCTCAATCTAAGCCAGTATCCATTATACCACTGTGCCTAACAAACCTGAATGGAATTGAAACTCGACTCTCTGATTTCCAATTCTGAGCTGTTCTTCATTACACCACTCACACATCAAGCTTACAGGACCTGGTCTTCCCAAGTGATCACCCATGTAGGTACTGACTAGGCTCAACATTGCTTAACTTTGGTGATTATATCAGAACTGATGTTTCAATGTGGTATGACTGTAAGTCTGCATTTGTTCATAAGTTAGTAAACATATGCATTATACGTGGCCATTACATTAGACAAATAATGGAACATTTTCTTTTGATTGCAAAGAAAGACAAAAGAAATGTTATGTCAGAGATATTGTTGGATTTTAGCGAGAAAAAAAAGCATATTAATAAGAAAAAAGAAAGAAAAATGGACAGGGATGTTAGATGAAATGATTATGTTCTTATGCATTTCATGCCTGGTTTGGTGAAAGGAAAAAACAGTGATAATTTCAAACGTTTTCATTTGTACATTTTCCTTATTTAAATAATGACCTGCATTCATACTTATGATTGATATTGCAATATTTTGTCAATTTGAAACCTTTTCATTTGTATCCTCTTACTTCTTGGAATAATGACCTGTATTCATACTTATGATTGTTATTGCAATATTTTGTCAACATTATTAAGTTTAAACATTTAACAAGGCAACAGAGGGATCTCCACATGTATTTTATAGTTGTGAAACTCGCCAGGTGTTTATTTAAACAATTAAATTAGGGACTATGATCCATTGGACAATTCCAACAGGAAAAACTTTGAATGTTTTTCCTGGGTCATTTTTCTGTATGTGTTTTGTTAGGACGTGGGCAGTCATGGCTCTCCACAGTTTCCTGCCTTTTGGCCAAACATCGGCAAAACTAATAAGCAGTTCTGTGCAGAATGTGTTGTTTGTCTCAATAAATTTTGTCTTTTTTATTATTTCTTCTAAATCATGTTCTGCCAGCCATTTACTGAAGCCTGCTACGTAGCTTATCCATTTTTTTCCTCTGTTTTCCTTCCTTCAATCAGTTCTATGATCAAGGCCTCTTTCCTCATTATCTAAAACTCATTGCTTATATGTTCAGTCCAGGGTATTCTCAGCATCCTTCTGTAGAACCACATTTCTCTTGTTTCAATTGTTTCCTTCATCTGTGCTAAGACTATCTAGTATTCACTGTCATGTAGAAAGACTGATATTACATAAGAGTTAAGTTTTCTATTCTTTGTGTCTAACAAAATTTCCTGTTTCTTAATATTTTGCTTAGCTTTTGAAAAGCATTTTTGCTAGCCTTCGGAATTCACTGTTGCATTTTATGTCCTCTGTGAAAATACTTTTTATTTAAATTTTTGTACTTAATTCGAGTATCTCCAATTTATAATTCATGTGTTGAGCTGTTCTTTTTGCTGGCAACCATAGATCCTTTCTTTTTACAATTGATATTTAGTCCTTTCTTCTCACTTTCCTTTATGACCTTCTGTAGAAGTTCCTGTATTTTCTTTTCTGTGTCACTAGCAGTACAGTGTGATCCGCATATTGTTATGATTGTGGCTGCCATTAATGGACCCTAGTAGAACTTGTAATTTTCTCGGAATTACCTCACTTTAAAGGTATTATATAAGAATAAAGTGTTGCTGCTGACACTAGAGTTTGAACACAGATCACCAGTGAGCAAACACAGGTGATCCCATTATTGAATTAAGTATACCACATGACCATAGAGGAAATGCATCAGTAGGAAGTGGCATGATGTCCAGTTGATCGCCATTTTTAGTCTATCCTCTATTACTATTCAGATCACCATTTCTATTCTATCCTCTACTACAATATGGAGCACTATTCTCTACTCTATTCACTATACTATTTCTCTATTCAGATCACTATACAGATTACTATTTCAAACAAGTATTATCGAGCAAGTACTATTAGTGCAAGGGCTATTCAAAAACATCTGACAACAGCATTGTTCAACGGTGTACTATTGTATTGTCGATTACAAAGTTTCTACTACAATGAGCATTATGAAAGTGACAACAAGCATTTATTGACATCACAAAAGTGGCAATGAGTGTTCGTTGACATCACAAAAACTTCCAAGAACAATAACAACAAAAAATGGTTGCACTGTACATTGGCCATGTTGATATTTTTCAAGCCATTTTTTGTCATTATGTGCTCCAGAAATGTTAACTGTCTCTTTCTGATGTTAATTATAAGTGTCCTTTTTATTTCCATTTTTTTCTAAAACTTTGTTGCTCATATGTTCAGTACATGGTATTTTCAGCATCCTTCCATAGAACCGCATTTCTGTTACTTCAAGTCTCTTCCTTATTTGTGAGGAGATTGTTCAGCATTCACTGCCATATAGAACAACTGATATTACATAACAGTTCACTACATCTTTCTTTGTTGTTAATAAAATTTTTCAGTTTTTTAATACTTTGCTTAGCTTTTGAAAGGTATTTTTCACTATCCCAATGCACCTTCAGATTTCAGTGTTGCACTTTCTGTCCACTGTTAAAAAAAATTCCCAGATATTTAAATTGTTGTACTCATTTGATTTTGGTAGCTCCAATTTGTATTTTGCATGTTGGGCTGTTCCTTTGCCAACAACCATGCATTCTATCTTCTTGCAATTGATACTTAGTCCTTTCTTCTAGCTTTCCTTCACTACATTATGTAGGAGTTTTTTGTAGTTTATCTTTCTATGTCTGCTATCAACACTGTGTCATCTGTATATTTTTTGTTGTTAAGATTGTGGCTGCCAATAATAAATCCTGGTAGGACTTCTAATTCTCCCAGAATTGTCTCACTGTGTAGGTTGAACATATCCAGCGAGAAGACATCTTTTTCTTACACCTTTATATTTTTGTATGTTTACTGAATTCATTTTCTATTTTTATGCAGGTGGCTTGCTGCCAGTATAGTTTCTTAGTATTCTAATCTCCTTCCAAAATATGTCACGGTTATGGTTAACAAGCAGTTGCAACAGTTCTTTGTGATATATTTTATCCAGTGCTTTTGCATCTGCTAGTTAGGTGGAGTAATGGATAGCAGCTTGGATTAAGGAATCAGAGAGCCGAGTTTGAATTCTAGTCAAATCCATTACATTCACTTACATGCTGATATCCTTGGAGAAGGTATGAATCCTCTTCTTTAGCTATGGATAAATAGCAGGACAGACCAGGTTCTATAGTCTTGGGTAGCAACTGGTCTACTGCAGAAAGAAATGGCAAACTACTGCAGGAAAAAATCTGCCTCATCAGACATAAAAGATACATGATCACCTGAGCATGCATCACGCATTGTACATAACTTTAGTAAATCTGAATGGATGGAAGGGAGGTAACAATGTAAAATTCAATTTTTCCATATATTTTTTAATATATGAAATATATTTAAATTGATAAAATCGTGGATCTACTCCTAAATTTAATCAATTGTTCTTTGGCCTATGGATAATCATTACCCAAAATGACATTCAAATTTATTCAGAACTTTTAGAGATATTGTGTAGACAGAAAACTGGAATGAAAGGAATACCTAATCTCTGTCCAACTTTGTTTGCAAACATAATGAAATGAAGAGAAGACAAAACCAGTCAGTTTTAAGTTCTGGTAAATTTATTCAATCATTCAGTAAAGAATATTTCTCAGCTAAAAAAAAAAAAATATAAAATAATAAAAACACAATTCATAAAGCATACAAAAAATAGAAATAAATTTTAAAAAATAGTGAAGTCAAATATATTTTATATTATTTTTCTTCCTATCTTTTTTTTTTTCATTCAAGCATTTTTTATCACCTTTCCCAATCTGACCCAACCCAGTAAAATAGAACATTCATTTTTTTTTTTATGCACTTCATAAAAATGAAAAAGATAAATGATAAAGAAAAAATTCAGAAAGAAACAGACAACCATGACAGTTTTTTTTTGCTGATTTCTTTTTTACTCAGATTTCCTCCCTGTTATATTGTTTTTTTGTCATTTTGTTTAATCTGTTTCTTAAAAAGAATCTACAGAAAAATAAAGAATAAGTAATTGCATGAGATTGCTATTGCCTTTAATTGTTGACTCCCTAATTGTCTGTAACAATTTAGGAGCAGTAAAAAAAGACAGAACAATCAAAAATGATAGAATAAATTAATTACAAAGAGTGAATTAAAAGGAGAATCTGTTCCTCTTACTCATTTCTTTTTTTAGTTCCTTTTTTTGCCACTGGCACTACACGGTGAATATTACAAATTCTTCCATTTTTTTTTTTTTTTTTTTTTAGTCTCTTTTGATATTGTTCACTGCCACTAAAAGGTGTTTGTTGGCAAAGGTAATGTTTCATTTAAAAAAAAAAATATTTATATTTATTTTTGGAAAGCAGAAATAAATGTGGAATATATATATATGTAATTTGTTTTTTAATTTTAAAATTTATTTTTCTTTTTGCTATTTGGTACTAGTTATAACTAGATTGGTACTACTAGTTATAACTAGATTGTACTACTAGATCACTGGGATTTATAAAAAGTTGGGTTAAATATATCTGGAGAAAGTGAAGAATGACGAGTCAGGGTGCTTAAAACGTGGTCCATGTCAGGCCATTAAAAATTGAGATTAATAAAAAATAAGGATTATATTGAGAATAAATAAATTTCTTTTTTAAATTAATAAAACCATTACTGAAAAATTTAAGAAAGCACTTGAATAAAAATGACTTGTAGTTTGAATATAGGTTAATATTTTTTAAATTAATAAAGTGATCCAAGAGTAAAATTTTCATAAGTTTTAATGAAAAAATTTTAAAATCATAATCAGAAAATTATCTTAAACCTTCAAGTAAAAAATTATTTGGAAAAGTACAAAGGAAATCTTTTAAAATTTGAAATTTAAAATTCGTAAGAAATAAAAAGATGTAGACAGGGGAGAAGGAAGGATTGGACATTAATTTTGCAAAAAGTGCAATTATTTCAAATATCTTTTAGAAATTTTAAAAGAGGAATTTTTATTGCTTATACTAAAACCTGTTTTCTTTTAAAATAAAAATATCTGTGTTTGTATTAAAAACCCACTTGAATTGTAAACACATTATTCATATGCAGAATTCTTTGTAGTTAATTTTATAAAAATCCCCAAAGACACAAATATATCCTCAATATATGAAGAGTGGATTTTACAAGTACACAAAAATAGTACCCATGAAGAACTAATTGCTAAGG